TGAGCTGTAATGCCATGGCACTCCACCCAGGGGGATAGCTTGAGGCTCTGTCTCAAAAAAAAAAAAAAAATTTTTTTTTCCAGGCAGCACCTGTGGCTCAGTGGGTAGGGCGCCAGCCCCATATACCAAGGGTAGTGGGTTCAAACCTGGCCCCAGCCAAGCTGCAACAGAAAAATAGCTGGGTGCTGTGGTGGGCGCCTGTAGTCCCAGCTAATCCCAGCTACTCAGGAGGCTGAGGCAAGAGAATTGCCTAAGCCCAGGAGTTGGAGGTTGCTGTGAGCTGTGACACAGCGGCACTCTACTGAGGGTAATAAAGTAAGACTCTGTCTCTACCCAAAAAAAAAATTTTTTTTTTCATTTTTTATTTGTATATGTTCATGGGGTACAAGTACAATTTTTTTCTACATTGACATATTGCATTAGGAAATCAGGGCCTTTAGTGCATCCATCATTGAAGCAACCCACCAAATAGCCTCCCATTATCCTCTACTCTTTACCCCTCCGAGTCTCCATTGTCCATCGGTTGTCTGTTGTTCCATTCACACTGCTTCCATGTATACATGTTATTTAGTTTCCACTGGTAAGTGGGAATGGGTAGCATTTGTCTTTGACTATTCTGTGTTTGCCCAAATTGTTCCACTGAAGATAATGGCCTCCATCCATGTTGCTGCAAAAGATATGATTTCATTTTTTTCGTAGCTTAAAAATAGTCCTCTGTGTGTGTGTGTGTGTGTATACCACATTGTTTTCATCTAATCCTGTGTTGTCTAAACATTTTAAAATCAGCTGATGGGAAGTTGTCCTGATGAGCTGGGAAAATTTATACACTATCTCCTTTACCCTGTAAGAAGAGTATCACTCAGCCTATCTCCTTTCTGTAAGATTGGCCTTTGAAAGGAGATGAAAGCAATGGAGAAAAGAGTGGTGATTCTCATTCCCTTTCTTGAAGGTGGGGCAGTGGAAACAGGAAATGTCGGGGTAGAGTTGCTACTAGAGGTGCAGGTGAGCTTAATGTGTGAAAAGCTTGGGGGTCTACTTAATGAAAAATTTAATTCCAAAATAGGTAAGTGATAGAAACCCGGACAGCTGTCTGTATGCTCTGATTTTCCTGATTTTTCCCCTTAGATGTTATGACCTCACTTGTGTTCCAGAATCCCTGAATTCTAAACTGTAAAAAAGATCACAGATTGCTTTAACATTATCCATATTGGCACCGATATAGTTGGTGTTACAATAAACAAATATGAGGCCTTTTTGGAAGTATCTTCACAGCTGCTCCTAAAGAAAAAAGCCCCAGCAGCCACATTGTACCCGGTGAC